AGCTTGCGAGCGATGCACGAGCTGCGCCAAACGTGAGCGATGACGGCTTTGAATGTGGACGAGGGTTTGTCTTTGTTGGTTGATTTTTTAAGAGCGGTGACTTGGTTTTTAGAGAGGGTGAGGATTGCGGTGTTGAAGGGGGGAGGGGACCGGAAGGTATTGAAGTCGGAGTGTGGGGGCTTCTTGTATTCTATGAGATCGACGGTGACGGAGGGAGGGGATCGAGCGCGGAGGAGGGAGCGGTCGAAGAAGGGAAGGAGGGAGATGTTGGTGATTCCGCGGGCGATGTCTGTCCATGTTTTGATGAAGTGGAAGTAGCTGCGGCCGTCTGCAGCGGTGTGGTGGCTTAACAGGCCGAGGGTGTGAAGTGGAAGTAGCTGCGGCCGTCTGCAGCGGTGTGGTGGCTTAACAGGCCGAGGGTGACGTCTCCGCCCTTGAAGAATGTAACCTGAGAGTTGACGTAGAAAGAGTACCAATTATTCCTCGATAACCTCGGCATTTACTTTGAGGAAAATATCTAGTTGTTCTTATCATAGCGTTCACGAAGAGCCTTTGGCTCTTTTGTGAACTCTCTTACTGGTTTAGCTACAAACACAAAATATTCATTACATTTGAGAAAACTTTAGGCTAAGTTATCCTTAAAATACCTTACAGTTTATCCATATATATTTGCATTTATATACTCTCAGCTGCATTTCACGGCACTTAAAAGTAAATGTTTTTAAAATTCGCAGGTTACTTCGTTTTGTCTTCTACGCTTAAGAATATTCGTTCAAATGTTTCTATGTGACTCTGTAAATAAGACCTTTTCAGGACTGCTTTTTTACCCGTTTTTAACTGAAAACCCAATGAAATAATCTTCCTCTACATTGAAAACTCATTTTCATTTTAGACAATAGATCAATCTTTTTTCCATTTTCCCCTATGATTGAAAAATAAAGAAAGTTAGTAAGTTGGCCACCAAGTTCGTTAGGTTCATCAATCTTGAGAGTTAGAAGGAAAACCATGAAATCAGTCAGAACGAGTGCAAGCAATTGTTGGAAATAACTACAACAATGACAAAGACAATCAATGATCAAACGAATAAAAATCATTAGGAGACTAAGTTAAACAACAACAACAAACCAAAAAAAAAAAAAAAAAAAAAAGGAAAAAAAGACAAGAGAACTAAGTGGGACATCATTAAAAATTGTGGATTTTGACTAAATCGAGGTGAAAAATCCAATTTTGTGAAAGGATTACTCGATACAAGATTCACCTTAATTATATATAGAGTTATCAGGAAAAGACCAAATTGAAATTAAGCTTAATATAGTATTAGAAAAAACCCCATTACCCTTGGATGATTATCAAATAAAACCTCAAACCAACTTTCAAAATATCAAAAAAAAAAAAAAAACCTATATGGTTATCAGGGACCTCCCTTTTAACTTTAAGATTTTATCAGAAAATCCTCTTTTAAAGAATTTTCACATGGATGGACAGAATTAAACATGTGGATATTTTTACTAGTGATGAAATTGGGGTTCATGGTTTCAATGTGGATTTCAGGGAAAGTCTTAAAATTAAAGAGGATTTTCTATTATAAAAGGGGTTCCAGATACTTCGAAACTTTCGGGGCTATCTCGTAGTCGTCCAAAGTAAAAGCGTGCTTTCTAATATTTAGCCAAAAACTAATTAAAGAAAGCACACCTGACCTGAACCATGAACAGCATGCACGGTGGCTGAGACGACTCAACAGTCGGCACCAACTCCTGCCTCATCTCCTCGGACGGAGCAAACACTCCGAACGCATCAACGTCATACCTGCACCGAGCCACTGTGAACAGAACTCCCTCGCCCGTGCAATTTATCTCAATCCGACCGTCCGGACCGACCTCAAGTCGACCAGCCAACGGATAGAAGTGAACCAGGGCCTTGCTCAGCGACGCCTTCAGGGTCTCAACCTTAAAAAAGTTGGGATTTCCGTTAGGCCGGTAATGGTAGATTGACGGCAAGTGCTCTCTCACGCCAAACGCCAGATCGAAATTTGAGAGCCACATTCTACGCTTTGGCGTCTCATCGCTGGGAGCCACAATGCCAGACTCTACCACTTCCATATCTACTTCTGCTTCTTAATGTTTCTGTCTTTGCGACTCTAATTGTTTGAGCGTACGTGCGACTTATAAAGTGTTGTTGAGCATTAAAATATTTTATTTATATGATTAGTTTTGTAAAGAAAATATTGCGGGGACCAAGTATTGGCATCCTTTTTCCGGTGTTAGGAATACGTCTCTATATTTTGCTGTCACTTGTGCGATGCACGGGGTTCAGTTTGTTGTATGTATGTTAGAACTTTGGAAAAGAAAGAAGAAAATTTAAGATCTTTTGAAAAAAGAGAGAACACATCAATGATTCATAGAAATTGGAAAATAAATAATAAAGATTTTCAAAATGTGGAGAGAGTGAATTATAATAAGATGAGATGAGATGTGGAAAAAGGAACCATTAGTTATTAGCTACAAGAGCCCTTAGAATTTGCCAAGGGGCAAAAGTGTGCAACTAGGTTTTTATTTTACTAATATAGTATATTGATCAATTGGAAGGCTTTTTATCCCCAATCATTCATGTTTTCATATCTTCCCTCAAATCTTCATATTTTCAACTTAGTCTTCCAAATCTTTAATTAATTTTAAATAAGTCACTCCAAATATTCATATTTTGAAATTAGTCCCTCAAATCTTAAAAGTGTTTTGAAATTAATCCCTCTAGTTAGCACTAGGTTGAAAGAGTTGGGGGACTAATCTCAAAGCACTAATAAGATTAGAGGGCCTACTTTCAAAATACTAACACTTAGTTTATTTATTTTATTTTATTTTATTTATTTTTTTTTGGGGGGGGGGGGGGGGGGTGTTGCGGATTTGAGGAACTAAGTTCAAAATATAAAGATTTGGAGGACTAATATCAAAATATGGAATTTTATATTTGCGGTACTAATATGAAAAAAAAAACCCTAATTAGAAGTAGGTGAAGGTTTTTTACAATATCATGCCCCTTTCTGCTGTCAAGTAGTTAGCTATTCGCACCTAATAGCTTCATAGTCTAAAGTCATTGACCCTTCAAGTGTCGAGGGAATAAGTAAAATGGTTGTGGGTCAGTTTCCACGACATTTTGAATTTTAGGCTTAAACCATTATTAATCTCACGAGTGGTTGCTAGCCCTTGTAAGCTAAATTTTCGAAAACACTCCTCCACCTCTCTGTTATGTAACAGTAAGCGTGCATTACAACTGCACAATAACGTTATAGTATATATAAGTGTGGAATCGACAGGGAAGGATTTTTTTTCCTTTTTAAATTGGAATTTTTTTCCTTCTTAAAAAGTTGTTTGAAAGAGGTTTTAGAAAATGAGAAAAAATTGGGTTTTAAGATTTTTGTTAAGAAAAAAAGAAAACAAAAAAGAGGGAGAGAGGAGAGAAATTAAAATGTAAAAGAAAAGAAAACAAGAAAAGAGAAAAAAGGAAAGGAAAATAAATGAGAGAGATAAGAAAATAAAAACTGGAGAAAGACAGAAAGAAAATAGACATAAGAGAATAGAAGGACTAGAATGAAATGCAAAAAAAAAAGAAAGAAAGAGAACTATAAAAACTAAGAGAAAAAACTAGGTAATTAGATAGATTCCACTATATCACTATTTATTAGATTTGAAAATTACTCTCGTTCTAATTTATTACTCCTTAGAATTAATAAGCTTGAACTATGAAACTAACTAAAGTAAGGGCAGTTTATCAAATTAAATCTAGAAAGCAATTCAATATTACATGAATAGAATAAATCAAATTGAAATGTAATTCTAGAATAATAAAAGAAGTATAGGTTATCAAATCATTTAAAAAAAGTACAACCTATCAAATTCTATTAATCTGCCAATTATTATTTAAAAAGAAATTATTCAAACATGAGAAACTTAGGCATAAAAGACAACAAATCTAAATCTAATAAACAAGTTATATTAGTTTCAACTTATCCTAATTATTCTAGAAATTTAGCCACACATTTTATCATTAAATTTAAATTATCCAAGAAAGAAAGTATGAATAAAAAGCAAGAAAATTAACTAATTATGAAAAGCAGTAAAAAACAAGGAAATAAACTAATTATCTATGCATGGAATTTAAACTACCATAAAAATAATTAAGAAAGAAAACTAATTAATTATTAAGCATGAAAGAAGCAAGATGTGACACCCTAGGGTTCACACAAGGCTGTAGTCCAGGGTGAAACCCGGATTGTCAAACCTGCCAAGCATCAACATCATGCTACGACACGTTTAACCATCACAATTATTATCTCTCTAGCAGAGTCAACAAATAGGTGAAGGTTCAAAACAGGCAAATAATAAAAATAGTACAATAATAGAATATGCATAGAAGAAGTATGAGAATGATCAACACATGAGCCCAACTAAAATAGTATAAGAGTATCTCTGATTTGTAATAAATATACCAAGTCTCATAATCAAGAGTCAAAAGAAAATCTCTCTAAGGTACACTGCTTCTACAAAATAAAAATACAATCTCTAGAGTGTGAAAATGAACAACTATTGTGGAGCTCTGTAAATATCTACTAATAAAATAAATAAGATGGATGCTAAGATGCGACTCCATCAACTCTGCGACAATCTGTACGCTTGACTCATCGCCTGAAAAGAGGGGAACCAATAAGCGTCAAGCGCTAGCGAGATCATCTCTACCGCCCCAAGGGGAAGGGATAGTAATATATAAAAAATATTAATTAGTACATATAAATAAAAAGTCATCAATACTGCGCTAAATGAAAATTGGTATTTAGAGATTCATAACATGAGAATGGGTACGTCGAGCGAAATAATCGAAACAAGAAAACCTTCATGTATATACCTCGTATCCCAAATTATGAATCGCTAAATATCAATCCCAACTAAGACTAAAAATACAAGTAAAATTAGTAATTAGAAATCCACAACACGAGACTAGTACGTCGAGCGAAATAATCAAAACAAGGAAACCCTTATGTATATACCATATATCTCGAGCTATGAATCTCTAACTACTAACTTCAAACCTATATATATCAAACCTATATATAAACAATCATCATAAACAGAAATATTACAACTTCACCCTTAATAATAATGAAACAATTTGTCATAATCTCAGACTACCCTCAGGTAGCTGGCACCATCGTAAGGAAATATTATCCAGCTCAAACATTACAATATACCATGTCGTGTATGTCATATATCCAATGTATACCCTACTCATGGGTAAACTACATGGGATCGTACTACAACTGTATATATGTTTGCATCTCTACTTGGAATAGCGATACTCTTGTAAGGTTCTTACTCAATCGCTCTGCGGCAATAGGTTTTATCTTCCTATTTAAGCTACATGAAATATCGATACTCTTGTAAGGTTCGCACAATGACATGTGGGTTCAACTTCATTACTCAATCATTCTACAGCAATAGGTTTTATCTTCCTATTCCGGATATGCTACCAGATGATCGTACAATGGTTAATAGGCACATCAGCCTAACCCAAAAAAATACATTGATCACCTTCGAGTATTTGGTACAACCTATTAGACCCTAGAGGGGGGTGATTAGGGTCTTATGCTAATCTAATCCGATTTTATGCCAATTAAAATTAATTAACAAATTATTCTTGCAAGAAAGATATACAATAAGTTACAAGCAAGGATAAGCAATATGAACAAAGGTAAATATCCTAGCAATGAGATATACTATGAGATATATGTAAGGATATATAGTTAACATAAGGGTAAACAATCTAAACTAGATAGTGAGCAATATAATCAACAAGCAATAAACAAAGGCGATATAAGATATGAACATAAAAATAAGTGCGCCAATGCAATCACAAACAAATGATATGATTACGGAGTTTGGTCCCCACGACCTACGTCTCCGCTCCTCACCTCGAGGAGATCTCCACTATCACAACTGGATTTTTTATGTTTACCCGAACAACGTTTACACCTCATAATACGGTTTTCTAGTTTACCGAAAACTCTACAACTAACACACTCTTGTAATCCCACTCTACACCCTCTCAAGTATTAAACTAGACGTGTCTCCCTCAAGTGCTCGGATACAACCTCTCCCCGACTCTCGCCACATACTTCTCTCGGTGTACAAGTGTATTACAAAGTGATCTCACAATTAAGCACAATACAAAGTGTTTGTTCTCTATAATGGATGAGAATGAATTATAAGCTCACTCTCTAAGTTACACAATCCCACAACCCAATTATACTATGAATGTAAATACAATAAGCTCAATGGTTGTGTGTGTGTGTAAGCAAAGAGAAACAAATCAAAACTAAACTCAATACAATTCTAGCATATAGAAATTATAAATAAAACAGTAAATAGCTAGAAATAGAGTTTAGGAAATCTTCTCTGAAAAACAAGATGGAGAGGAGGATTAAAATGAAGCTCAAACAATGTAGATGATCTTCTCCACTTGTAAAACAATCTTCATAAACCAAACAAACTTTAAACCCAACTAAAACCCTTGTTAAAACTCTTTTTAAACTTCTTTAAAACTTTCCATTTGGGTTGATGAGATAGAAGCGGTTTGGGGGTTTATATAGGAAGAGAAAACAACAGTAAAAACCCCAAACAGAACAATAAAAATCTAGAAAATCAGGAATACGATTCTGTACCAAAAATAACTGTTGGGCTATCGGCGGTCGATCGTGAAATTCTCGCGGTCGACCGCGTGGTACTTTTGAACCTCAGAAAACTTCCAGAGACTTACGCGGTCGACCGTGGCGGTCGACCGTGGGAATTTTTAGGTCGACGGTCGACCATGGCGGTCGACCGTAAAAGTTTCTATGGCCCACTCAGCAAAAGACACAGGCGCGGTCAACTATAGCGGTCGACAGCTAATTGATATATAAAAAATTCTGGTTTGAAAGCAGTTGCGGATTTTAAAATACTGTTTAAAAATATCAAATAAATTCAGAAAAATATAAAACTTTGGGGAATAATTGTAGACATGATAATAAACATGCTACAAAGACTGGTTTATAAAAAGCACTTCACAAATATAAAATATCATTATTTTCTAAGGAGGTCTAAAACACAGAAATGTAAACATATGAATTTTGACAATTTGCC